GGGGGGGGGGGTGCAGTTGTGGCCTATTGGATAGAGAGTCGGACTTGTAACCCAAAGGTCGTGGGCTTGAGTCTCAGAGGTCCAGCCTGAGGTCCAATTGTCGGTGGGGGGAGTGAAAAACCAGAGCTCTCTCCACATTCAATACCATGACTGAGGTGAGACCCTTGAGCAAGGCCCCGAACCCCCAACTGCTCCCCGGGCGCTGCAGCAATATGTCTACCCACTGCTCTGGGTGTGTCTACAACCAGTAGTGAGAACGCAAAACATGATTTTTACTTCCTAATTTTTAACACTGCATTTGTAACTTAAGTAACGTAATTTTATTGACATAAGTAACCAAATTACATAAATTTTAAATGTACTTTACATTACGTTAACTAACTGCGTTACCAGGAAAAGTAATTAGATTACAGTAAGTTATACCCAACTCAAGTTATATATTTTGGCTATCAGTTTTCACTTTTCATGGTAGAATTCATTGTAGAAGATGTCTTTGGGGATTAATATTGTTAACTCTTTCCCCACCACTGACAAGTTATCTAATTTTTCATGAGAAAACGCTTCATGCCAAATATGAGATTTTACAGTTTTCCGTGTTTTCACTGTTATATGCCCGGTGGCACTATTACACATCTCTTGAATGAGACCAGAATCTCCTGATCAAAAGCACAGACGAGGAAGACGCAGAAACGGGCGATCTCATGTGTAAGCTGATGCATATGAAAAATAATGCAATCATCAACAGTTAACAGCATATAAAGCAAAACTACCTAATGTTATAGAGTAAAATGTCAATCCAGGAAGTGGTAAATGACTGTGAAAGCTTTCGGAGTGCTGATGGACGCAATCTGCTTAATCTATGCTTTGACCATCGTACTGATATGATCCAGATGCAGTCTTTGATTAAAAACATGTTTTTTTGCTCAAAATGATGCTTTTTTACAAAACTTACCTACATTCAAGTGTTGATAAAAAAAGAACATTTTGTTTAAAATTAGAGGCTCTGTTCTTTATTTTGATGAATTGCATGTTCAGATATTCATACAACAAAATTTCTGGGTACAATGGAATTTTAGTGAAAATGATCAAAAACGCTGGCGGTGTTAAAAGAGTTCAGGTAAATTATAGAACAGCTGATTAATTAGTTGAATTTTACATTTTCATTCCTGTTCTAGACTCTCTGACTGCAGCATCACTGAAGAAGGTTATAAAGCTCTGGCTTCAGCTCTGAGATCAAACCCTTCACACCTGATAGAGCTGGATCTCACAGGAAATGATCCTGGACAATCAGGAGTGAAGCAACTCAGTGATTTACTACAGGATCCAGACTGTCAGCTGAAGACACTGAGGTGAGACGTGATGAAATAATACAAAATAAATTAAATGCGGGTGAATTATTTATAGAAATATTATTTCACTAATACAAACCTGCTGCATTAAAGTACATTCAAGAAAAACTATTTCACACTTCTGTCCATCATATTTGGATGTTTTTTTTTCCATCAAGTTTATTTGGGAATTAAATTATATCCTACTTCATCTCTTCTGCAGGTTTTTGAGTCCTGATGCAGAAGAAGCCTGTCAGTATGTGACAGGAATTGTGGGTAAAAACCCGTTACTCCTGAGAGAACTGAATCTGAGTGAAAATGAACTAGGAGACACACGAGTGAATCAGATCTCTGCTCTACTGCAGGATAAACACTGTCAACTCAACACGCTACAGTAAGTATTTTGAATGTAGTTTTTATTGCACATTTAATCTATGTTAAAGAAATCAGGTGACCTAAACAGTTCTCAGTAATCACAGAATGTTGGAATCGAGCACTTTGTGTTTGTAAATTCTCTCTCTCATGTTTAAAATTTAGGCTGCGTGGTTGTGGTCTAACAGAGGAAAGCTGTTCAGTTCTTGCTACAGTCCTGAGATCAAACTCCAGTCTGAAAGAACTTGACATGAGCAACAATAATCTGCAGGATTCAGGAGTGAAGAAACTCCAGAATGGATTAGAAGATACAAACTGCACTCTGGAGAAGCTTGGGTGAACCAGTGTTTGATTTTAATAATAACAATAACTATGTCTTTTGAGTTTGAATAATTATTAATTTTGATCAAAGAAAAATTACTGTAGTAAACCAAAGAAGAGGGAAAGACATGCTTGTGTCAGATGATGAATCATGTTTTACTCCTCTGACCAGAAGAGGAAAGAATAAACAAAATACAGTAGACATTTTTTTATATTAAACTTTTTTGTAGTAACATTTATATAATACATTTGATTGTAATAAAACCTCTTCTGTAGACTTTCAGACTGCAGTATCACTGAAGAAGGTTATAAAGCTCTGGCTTCAGCTCTGAGATCAAACCCTTCACACCTGATAGAGCTGGATCTCACAGGAAATGATCCTGGACAATCAGGAGTGAAGGAGCTCAGTGATTTACTACAGGATCCAAACTGTCAACTGAAGACACTGAGGTGAGATGTGATGTAATACAATATAAATTAAATGCAGGCTCATACATACTTCATGTGATAAAGTAATACAAAATAAATAATGTGCAGGTAACTTATTTATAAAAACATTTGTGTAATACAATTTGTTGCAGTAAAGTAAATCTAATGGTGCTTTTCCACTGCGTGGTACGACTCGGCTCGGCACGGCTCAGTACGACTACTGAGGCCCTGGACCACTATGTCGTTATAGTTGCATCGCCTCTACTGTCGCGACTCCTGAAAAACTTTTTCATTCCGCGTCGCCCCATCAACCTCTCGCTGGATCCGCTCCTCTGCTATCAACGAGAGGAATGTCTGTACTTCCTCAACAGACAACAAAACAGCCACTTTTTGGTTGTTAAAAAAGGTGCGCTCATTCAAAACAGTTGCATTCGATCCTTCGCTGGCTGTGCTGATTTAAATCTAGTGGTTCTGTTGTGTTTGTTTCGCAAGTTCAGTGACACAGGTAGTGACAATTCTTTCCGGCCAGTCCGTGATCGGCAGAGTTTACACGTCATGTTTTGGTAATGGTACGGTTCACTTGGAACCTCAACCGAGGTGGTACTAAAAAAGTACCAGGTACTGTACCCAGTGGAAAATCCCCCAAAAGTGAACCGTACCGAGCCATACCATGCCGTACCATGCAGTGGAAAAGCGTCATAAGACAAACCCTTTCACACAGTTTCAGAATCAGATGCTATTTTTCACCAAGTTTAGTAGAAAACTGAATTGAATCCTGCTTCATCTTTCTTTCTTTAGGTTTTTGGGACCTGATGCAGATGAAGCCTGTCAGTATGTGACTGGAATTGTGGGTGAAAACCCATTACTCCTGAGAGAACTGAATCTGAGTGAATGTGAACTAGAAGACACACGAGTGAATCAGATCTCTGCTCTACTGCAGGATAAACACTGTAAACTCAACACACTGATGTACGTTTTTTTAATATATATTTGTTACAGTGACACTTAAAATCTTGCTGCTAGATGTGTTTTATCTATCTTTTATAAGAGAGTGCTGACTGAAAGAACATATAGGACTTTTGTAATGTGCTTATCATCATCATCATCCCCACCAGTAATTTTCAACTGTCAACTAATACATACTGGGAAATATTAAGATGAAACTAAATCTGTTTTCTCAAATTTGCAGTCTGAATAACAGCGATATCACAGAAGAAGGTTGTCGTGTTCTGGCTGCAGCTCTAAATTCAAATCCATCCAATCTGAAAGAGCTGAATCTGAGTAAGAATAAACTAGGAAACTCAGGAATGAAGATTATGTTGACTCTGTTTGAAAATGTACAGTGTAGACTGGAAAAGCTGAAGTAAGTATTTTAAAAGTGTATCCCATTAATTAATCTGCTTAAAACGGGCATTTGGAAGGTTCACTTCATTTTACATTTGCAGAATTTCCAACATTTTTGTGGTCAGATGTTTACAGCATTTCACCAGATTTGTAGTCCTGATGTGAACTAAACACAGAGACTTAAAGGTCACTGTGCAGTTTTTCACCAAAATAAAAGCTTGAGGCTTTAACATTCGAAGATAAAGAAATAAGACGTAAATATTACTATTATAACTGTATCATTCCAACCATTCTATAAACTGCTTGTTCAATGTAGGGTTGTAAGCATGGTTTAGGCTTAAGTATTTTACCATAAAATGCTAAATATTACCATATCAACTATACTGTATATATATATATATATACGTATATATATATATATATATATATATATATATATATATATATATATATATATATATATATATATATATATATATATATTACTTTACAGTATGATTATCATGCAAATCTCATATTGGTGAATAAAAGTAATAGCTAAAGCAATTAGTTGCATAATTGTGTATATATAGATTCTTTTTTTTATTTGTTCTCTCTTCTACAGGTTGAACTGCATCAGTATTACAGGTGACGGTTGTGCTGCTCTGGTATCAGCATTTAATTCAAACCTCAGAGAGCTGGATCTGAGCGAAAATCAACTAGGAAACTTAGGAGTAACGGAAATCTCCAGTGTGCTGAGAAATTCACAATGCAAACTACAGATACTCAGGTCTGAATTTAGTTAGTTTAAATATGAATCAGTGTACAGCTAAAGCTCCAACTGGTCTGTAAACTGCCATTGTGTAACAAGGAAAAAGTCAGTAATGTTACTTACAGTAATGAAAAACAATGCAGTAATTGCATTTTTGAGGTGCTGGGAAATATAAATATCCAATTGGTGTGAGGAATGCTAATAGTAATGAAGTTTTGATCTTTGATTTTTACGTTGTTTTTGTCTTTCTGTAGACTTTCAGACTGCAGTATCACTGAAGAAGGTTATCTAGCTCTGGCTTCAGCTCTGAGATCAAACCCTTCACACCTGATAGAGCTGGATCTCAGAGGAAATGATCCTGGACAATCAGGAGTGAAGGAGCTCAATGATTTACTACAGGATCCAAACTGTCAACTGAAGACACTGAGGTTAGACATGATGAAGTAATACAAAATAAATGACATTCGGTTGAATTAGTAATACAAATAATATTTCACTAAAGCAATCTTTTGTGTCTAGGTGAATTCAAGATGAACCATTTCTCACTGTTTCCCATCAGAATCAGATGCTATTTTTATTACACCAAGTTTAGTTGAATTGAATTGTGCTTAATCTTCTCTTCTGCAGGTTTTTGGGTCTTGCTGCAGATGAAGCCTGTCAGTATGTGAATAGAGTTCTGGGTGAAAACCTGTTACTCCTGAGAGAACTGAATCTGAGTGAACGTGATCTAGGACTCTCAGGATTGAACAAACTTGCTGCTGTACTGCAGGATAAACACTGTAAACTCAACAAACTGATGTAAGTTTTATCATTATCATGAGAATTGTTAATACTTTTGAACTTGCTGCTGGGTGTGTTTTATGTATCGTTTACCAGAGCGTGTTGACTTTTAACTAACTCTTGATAAATATTTAGTTGAAACTGTTTTTATTTGTATCTGTATTTTCTGTTAAAACAGTCTGAATAACAGCGATATCACAGAAGAAGATTGTCATGCTCTGACTGAAGCTTTAAATTCAAACCCTTCAAATCTGACAGAACTGAATCTGAGTGGGACTAAACTCAGAAACTCGGGAATGAAAATCTTCTCGACTCTGTTTAAGAATGAAAAATGTAGTCTGAAAAACCTGATGTAAGTATCTTAGTCAGTGTGTACAACAAAGGCCAACTACTAAACAAATATTTATCATGCAAATCTCATGTTGGTGGACTAAAATAGTACCGGTAATAGCCAAAGCTACTAGCTGCACAATTGTATGTAAAGCTGATTTGTTTTTCTCTTTTCTACAGGTTTAATTGCATCAGTATTACAGAAGATGGTTGTGCTGCTCTGGCATCAGCATTTAATTCAAACCCTTCAAACCTGATCGAGCTGGATCTGAGTGGAAATAAACTAGAAAACTCTGGAGTGACTGAAATCTCCAATCTACTGGGAAACTCTCAGTGCACATTGCAGATACTCAGGTTTGAATTTGGAGAATTTAAACATGAACAGAAAATTTCTGTCAGTAATATATTTTACAGTAGTAAAAATCAGTAGTATGCTTTTGTTTAAAAACATTTTGGCAACATTGGCACTTGTTGGATTTTTTTGGGCACAGACAATTATAAATACCATAATCTGAAAAATTAAATCTTGTTTTTACTAAATGAGTAACTGAATACATTTGAGACATTGTTTTTGTCTTCCTCTAGACTTTTAGACTGCAGTATCACTGAAGATGGTTATAAAGCTCTGGCTTCAGCTCTGAGATCAAACCCTTCACACCTGATAGAGCTGGATCTCACAGGAAATGATCCTGGACAATCAGGAGTAAAGGAGCTTGATGATTTACTACAGGATCCAAACTGTCAGCTGAAGACACTGAGGTGAGATGTGATAAAATAATACAATATAAATGATATGCACGCTCAATATTCATACAAACTATTACTTCAGTAATACAATAATCTGCAATTTGGTGCATCTAAGTGTTCTGTGCCATTGTTGACAAATGTCAGCACAGTTTAGTTATGGTACAAGCAACAGTACAGGTTAAAAATACATTATAGATGTGCTGATATTCAGTAGTTTGGGATTCACTTTTTCTGAACACACATAATTTCCATCAAGCCCAGATTCTCAACACTGTGTCACTCTGCAGCAGATCTGTGAGTCTCCAGTTCTTCACAAACATGCTGTGTCTAGAAAGATCTTGAGACCAATGCTATGAATGCTAATGTCCATATTTGTATTGAAAATCAATATTTTGCCCATCTGCTCCTCAGGACATTTGCTCTGTTACACTGTTTCTTTAAAATAAATATTTGGACGTCAAAAAGTCATACTTTTTTATGTTCAAAGTAAAACAGTAACTAGAGCTTGTCATTAGAAACAATAATGTATTCTGTCTTAACAACATGTTTTGTAAGACAATGAACATTTAGTTCAGAATTAAACTGAATCCTACTTTTGCAGGTTGTTGGGTCCTGCTGCAGATGAAGCCTGCCAATATGTGATTAAAGTTCAGGGTGAAAACCCGTTACTCCTGAAAGAGCTGAATCTGAGTTTACATGAACTAGGAGACACACGAGTGAATCAGATCGCTGCTCTACTGCAGGATAAACATTGTAAACTCAACGCACTGATGTGAGTATCTTACATCATTTAACATGTATTTGATAATACTTTTTTCTCATTTGTTTGAGCCAGAGGTGTCACAATATGAAGTTTTAAAATTAAACAGCCATTAAAAACACAAATAATTATAAAATGGCATTTAGCTTTAAAAGGTAGGCCAAGTCAGTTTGATCTTGGGTCAGTAATTATTTCATTTACTGTAGAGGGAGAACAATGGTCACGTCAAGTGACGTCGGTGACCGACGAATTGGGATCTTGCTTCGAGAGACCAATATACTTCGAGTGTAAACTAAACGAGCCAATGCACATTGGCATGCGATGATTGCATCCAGCTGCCGCGGATCGCAGCGCAAGTATAATTAGGCAGCGGGTGCAACGCATACTCAGCTTTTTCGTCTGAGAGGAGTTCTAACTAGTCAACGAGCGCTCTGAGGAAGAGGCTTCTTCAATGCCTGGTGTTAATGTGACCGCGCTGCAGCGGTGGTTCCCCTGTGCGCTTCAGCACTTCTGAAAGAGTGACGTGACGTTGCGTCTTTTTAAATATGTGATGCCGCCCGTGTGTTTCTGGATGCGGTCGTTACCTGGGGCCGTATGACAGTCTGCATCACGTGTTTTGGCCTTGAACATGCTGAGGCAGCCTTCGTGAATGAGTCATGCCGTCATTGTGGCGGTATGGCCAATGCGGCATTGCGGTCGTAGTCAGCGTAGCCTGAGGGTTACAGTGGGGGCAAACCCACCGAGTGCATCTCCGTGGGCCCCCCACTCCTCTAGCATGCTGCAAGCTGTGGGGCTACCGGGTGAATGTGTCAGTTCCTCGTACGGGGGTCCGGCCATTTCATTCGGTGCTCCTCCGTATGACCAGATGTTGATTGCGGCATTGGAGGGTGAGCTGGAGTCTGGGGATGAGGACTTGGCTGCGCTGCCCCCTTCGGGGAGATTGGTGTTGCCCGAGCCTGACCCAGAAATAACGGCTATGCTTTCCTGGGCTGCCAAGGTGGTCGGGCTCGAGTAGAGAGAGCCACCGTGTTCCGTGATGATTGGTATCTTGGGGCGACCCAGGCTGGTTCTCAGCCCCCCGCCCCAGTGCGTTTCTTCCCGGAAGTGCAGGAGGAGGTGACCAGGTTGTGGAAGGCACCTTTTTTTGCCCAAAACCGGTTTGGTGCCTCCTCCTCCCTCCCTACCCTCGATGGTGGGGCAGCCAGGGGTTACGAGGCAATCCCCCCCTGTGGAGCTCCCACCTGGAGGGATAACCCTCGTCTCCCATCCAGGGCCTGTAAGTTCTCGTCCGTGCTTACGGCCAAGACTTACGGTGCCACTGGACAGCCTGCCTCTGCCCTGCACGCTATGGCACTCCTGCAAGTATACCAGGCCAATTAAAGGAGTTGCACAACGTTGCACGTTGATGCAGGAGCTGCGCACGGCAATGGACCTCACCTTGAGAGCGACGGAAGTCACTGCGCGATCCCTGGGTCAAACAATGGCAACGGTGGTGGTCCAGGAACGCCATCTCTGGCCGAACCTGGTGGATATGTGGGAGACCGACAAATATCGTTTTCTCGACTCTCCTATCTCCCAGACCGGCCTTTTCGGTGATGCAGTCGAAAGCTTTGCCCAGCAGCTCTCGGCTGCCTAGAAGTAGATGGAGGCTATCAAGCAAATCTTGCCCCAGCTGCTGCTTTCACCCCGCCGCTGGGTGCAGCCGCTCCCGCCTGCTCGTCGCTGCGCCACCCGTCCAGGCCCCCGCCAAACCAGGTGGCAAGTGGAAGTGCAAGTGGCCCTGAGACAGGCAACCCAGAGTTGGAAGGGACAGCTCTTCGGGAGATGGTGACCGCACCACTCCCTCCCCCAGAGGAGGGCCGGGTGGAGAATCTTTTGTTTCCTACTTCAAGGAGCCTTTTCTCTCGCCCCCTGCCCAATCGTGGAGCCAGGTAGGTGTTGCACCGCACGCCCAGACCCCACTTCGGGACACTATGCCTTCCAAGTCGGGTCCCTGTCCTCCACCACGCTACCCCACCATGGGTACGTTTGTGGTCCCTCTGGTCCTGCTTGCACGGTTTCTGGGAGCCTGGCTAGCGCTTCCCAGTCCGTTTCACTGGCTCATTCTGACCGTCAGACTCGGCTATGCGATTCAGTTCACCTGGCGTCCCCCCAAGTTCAGTCCTGTCTTATGGGCAGAAATCACAGTCCTGCTGGCAATGGAAAAGCACAACCTAATTTTCAGATTCCTGAGGGGCGCGAGGAGACTAAATCCCGTACCCTCTTGTGATCTCCCTCTGGTGCTTACGACATTGCAGAGGGCCCCTTTTGAGCCATTGGAGTATGCAGAGCTGAGAACTCTGTCGATAAAGACAGTGCTCTAAACTGCGCTGGCTTCCATCAAGAGGGTAAGGGACCTGCATGCATTTTCGGTCAACGATTCGTGCCTGGAATTGTGCCCAAGGTTCCCACCATACCTTTCAGGGATCAGGTGGGGAACCTGCAAGCATTGCCCTCGGAGGAGGCAGACCCAGCCCTAGCTTTGTTCTGTCCCGTTTTCACTTTATGCCTATATGTGGACCGTACACAGAGCTTTAGGACCTCATACCAGCTCGTTGTCTGTTATGGAGGCCAGCAGAAGGGAAAGGCTGTCTCCAAGCAGAGGTTGGCCCACTGGATAGTGGATGCCATCGTCTTGGCGCATCAAAGTCAAGGCGTGCCGTGCCCGCTTGGGTTGAGAGCACACTCTACAAGGAGTGTTGCTTCTTCTTGGGCGTTGACGCATGGCACCTTGCTGACAGATATTTGTAGAGCTGCGGGCTGGGTGACACCAAACACGTTTGCTAGGTTTTATAGCCTTCGTGTAGAGCCAGTGTCCTCTCGTGTACTTACCTCAAGTAGCCAGTGAACCAGAGAGACTGCTCGGTGTCTCGCTTGCTGCGCCATTCCCCTCTACTGACCAGATACGTGTGCTTATTCTGCTCTTCAGTTCAGTCCCCCGTCACCCTCGGGAGCCGTACATGGCGGAGCGTCCGGCGCCAGGCCTAACACCTGTAAAGTTGCCTGTTAGTTAACCCCTGTGCTAGGCTAGGTGCCATATGTTGTGATCCTCATGGTGATCCCATATGTGTATTCTTCCACGGTACAGTTTGCCAGGCTCCCGACAGGAGTGGGTGCGTGAGAGAGGAGGGGCGCTGAAATAGCCAGGGCTGGCGGCGTGTGATGGGGCACACCTGATCCGAATGGAGCCTCATCACCGCCGCTGTTTAAATGCCGAGCGCGCCTCTCCTCGGGAGACCGGTCTCTTCCCCGTACATGCACGCTGGTGTCCTCGTGGGTCCAGGAAGGGAGCGTTGAGGGATCTCTGTGCCGCCGAAAATGTGAGCTACCGGACCCATGGTCCGGACGAGAACCGTAAGGGTTACACGGCCGTCGGGCCAGGATGCCGGGCCGGCCAGTCCCTTCAAGCGCCGTGGGCAGAGAGACGGATGAAACTGCTGAACGAAGCCGCCCCCCCTCGCACCCTGGGACCAAGAGGGGAGCGCGTGCAGCCGCCGGACTCTGCCCCTTACCTGGACCCTTCCTTCTCGAACACTGCCCCCCCTTCACTAACCCCCGCAGCACGACGAGGACACCAGATCCCCTGTTTATTTTGGACACTTTATTCCCTTTTCTGGACACTGTATGTTTATTTCCTGTAAATAAAAGCCTCTCCAAGGCCTGATGCTACACCCACTGTGTCTGTCGTTTGCTCTTCCCGCGACAGTAGAGATCCCAATTCGTCGGTCATCGACGTGACTCGGAGCAACCGACTGAAAGGAAACTTCTTGGTTACGTATTCCCTGAAGTTCCGTCGCCATGGCTGCTGTACCACTGCTGAGCGTCCGGGTCCCGGCTCGGCTCCTCAGCGAAAACCTGATTATGCGTTGCACCCGCTGCCTAATTATACTCGCGCTGTGATCAGCGGCAGCTGGATGCAATCATCGCATGCCAATGTGCAATGGCTCGTTTAGTTTACACTCAAAGTACATTGGTCTCTCGAAGTGAGATCCCAATTTGTCGGTCACGGACATGACGTCTCCGTTCCCTCCTTCAGGGAACGAGGGTTACATACATAATCGAGACGTTTTCTTTCAGAACTTACAAACTCCTCAAAACAGTTTAGTGCCCGATTTAGAACAAAGCAAATTAGTGATGTACCAACTGATCGGCCTACAGTCTTTATCGGCTGATGTTCACCCTAATCCTTTAGTCCTGCTTAAATTCAGGGACAATTTTTATTCATTTATTTTTTAAATTGCAGCAAGCACACATACAATACTACTTTAATGAATGAACTCTGGATCAGATTAATCTTCGTTCGTTTTTGTTGTTTTTTCATGTTAGTTCACAGTGCATAATGTTAAGAGATACAACTTTTTATTTGAAAAATGCTGTAGAAGTATTGTTCTTCATTAATTAATGTTAGCTAATATAGTTAACTAAGGAAAACCTTACTGAATATAGCTGGGAACAGCAGACCTAAACACATTTACCCTGTTGAGCTAAAGGGTGACATTGATATTGAAGAACCGGTCTTAACATTGATGTCAAGTGAATGCACCTGGAATAGAACTGATGTTTCATAACTGCTGTTCAAGAACATTTCAAGTGTGACTTTCAAATGACAAATTAGTCAGGCAAAAGATCCAAATCCTCCAAAACCCTAGATGGTCTTCATAGATCTGATTCATTGTTCTTTCGCTCTCTGTCTTCAGTCTGTGTGGATGCCATATTACAGAGAAACAGTGTTTCATCCTGACTTTAGCTCTGAAATCAAACCCATCACACCTGAGAGAACTGGACCTGAGTGGAAATAAAATAGAAAACAAAGGAGTGAAGCACTTATGTGATTTACTGATTGATTTCCGCTGGAAAATGGAGAGACTGAGGTCAGTAACATTCACATACAAGAAACAAAATGCTTAAAATCACCTTGACAGTTTTTAAACAAAGACACTTTATATTCAGTATCTTGATTATTATTTTGTGATCTGGTGAAATAAAGATGATCCCTCTTCATTTGTCTTTACAGAATGTTTTAATTTCTGCTTTTTCCCAATGTAGGTTAAGAGGCTGTGATATGACAGATGAAGGATGTTCTGCCCTGACTTCAGCTCTAAAATCAAACGCATCACACCTGAGAGAGCTGGACCTGAGTGAGAATAAACTAGGAGACTCTGGATTTGAAAACATTAGCAATCTATTGATGAACCCACAATGCAAGCTGGAAATACTAGCGTTAGTATCATTATACTGTACAGCAGTTTGATTGAAAGTCACTGTTTAGTCAAACAGGCCCAGTTTACAGTATTTAAACCCTAGCACTATATCTGTATTTTTGTCACCTTTAATAATAGGTGTCTAAATAGGATTTAATTAAATTACATTTTATTTAATTTCATTTAAAGTATTTTATAAAATGTACTGGTTGTGTACATGTTCTGCAGAAATATTATGAGATTCATATTTGCTGCTACAATGAATAAGAGACAAAAAAAATTATGTCTGTAGTTTTGGAGAAAAAAAAATTTAAATAGAAAGAAAACAGCAGGTTCTGGCATTAAAAACTTAAAAATCTATTAACAACTAAACGCCAAAATCACCACAATTAAAATAACCAAAGACTTAAACTACTTCAGTCTGTGTGCACTGAATTTATTTAATACACAGGTTTCACAATTTGAGTTGAATTACTGAAATAAATGAACTTTTCCACGACATTCTCATTTATTGAGATGCACCTGTAGACTATTTGGAAGGCTAGATGTGACACTGGGCCACAAAACCAGTCATAAGGGTCAATTTTTCGAAAATGAGATTTATACATCATCTGAAAGCTTTCCGTTAATGTATGATTTGTTAGGATAGGACCATATTTGGCATATTTGGAGATACAACTATTTGAAAATCTGGAATCTGAGGGTGCAAAAAGAATCAAAATATTGATAAAATCGCCTTTAAAGTTGTCCAAATGAAGTTCTTAGCAATGCATATTACAAATAAAAAATTAGATTTTGATATATTTTCGGTAGGAAATTTACAAAATATCTTCATGGAACATGATCTTTACTTAAAGTGCTAATGATTTTTGGCATAAAAGAAAAATCTATAATTTTGACCCATACAATGTATTTTTGGCTATTGCTACAAATATACCCCAGCGACTTAAGACTGGTTTTGTGGTCCAGGGTCACATATGTCTACTGTTGCTCTTTTCATAAGACAATCGTCAAGAATCTGAACCATTGACCTTTCTGTTTCTGTCTTCAGTCTGTGTAAATGCAGTATTAAAGAGAAGCAGTGTGTCTTCCTGACTTCAGCTCTGAAATCAAACCCATCACACCTGAGGGAACTGGACCTCAGTGGAAATGTACTTAAACACACAAGAGTGAATAAATTGTATGATATACTGAAGGATTCACGATTTAAACTGGAAAGATTGAGGTGAGGAACATTCACGTACAACAAAGACATTAGTGTTTTGGTATTTTAAGGAAACAAAATGAAAAGGTTATCTCATTTCTCTGAATGCAGGTTAAGGTACTGTGCTATAAAAGCTGAAGATTGTTCAACTCTGACTTCAGCTCTGAAATCAATGTCATCACACCTGAGAGAGCTGGCCTTGAGTGGGAATGAAATAGGCCAGTTGGGAGCAACAAACCTCAGTGATCTACTGATGAACCCCCAATGCAAGCTGGAAAAACTAGAGTTAGTAACATTATACTGTACAGCAGTTACAGTGTGATTAAAGTTTATTATGCTATTAGCTGATGGACTGATGATTCAGTATGTGTGTCAGTAGAAAAATAAAAACAAACTCCTCCAAATACTCCAGGATTTGACATTTTTGGCTGTAAAATTTTCATATGTTGAAAAAAAAGAAGAATAGGCAAAAAGCTGATGTAGCATGAATGACAGTAAATTATTTTAACAGTTACATGGCTTTTACAGGACTAATAGTACTTTTCACTAAATCAGTTTTTATTAAGCAAAATTTGTATGGTTGGTTTATGGTCATCTAATTAGGTTCTCAGGTTTTTGGTGGTGTATTAGTGACAGTATGGTGTTTATTCATGATGCATTTAACTCACATGTGAACTTAACATGGTCTTTTCTCTTGTCTTCAGTTTGTGTAGATGCAGTATTACAGAGAAACAGTGTCTCATCCTGACTTCAGCTCTGAAATCAAACCCATCACACCTGAGAGAGCTGAACATCAGTGTGAATCACCTAGGAGACTCTGGAGTTGAAAACCTTGGTGTTCTGTTGGGCAGTTCACAATGCAAACTGGAAAAACTACAGTTAGTATCATTGCACTGTACAAAAACTTGCATGACAATAGATTATTCTGACAGAGTTAAATGGCTTCCGTAACACTGATGGTGCTTTTCGTGAAATCTAAGAGGTAGTGAAATGCATGTTTCTGGAGGTTTGCTTATGAAACACAGACTACTGTGATTTATAATAGCAACAGTAACAAACTACACTGGCATGCAGTAAATTTAACTTGACTTCGCTTTCTTCACTTAACCCGCTTAATACCAAATTTTTTCCAGACATGAAAATATCCAGATGATGGTTAGTATTAGTAACCCTTTGAAATAATCAATACTTATTTTTGAAATTTTAAACAGCTATTTTAAACTGTTTAATCACATTCTAAGGTTACAATTATGCATAAAAACACTTATACAACACTGATAGGAATACTGAGATACATGTCAAAAAAATACAACCATCAACATACTTCAAAATTGTTACTTTATTGTATCATACAGTATATCATAAAATTGTCAGGTTAGTGCTACTAATATTACAACATCAATATTGTAACTTATTTGTAACATTTTAACTTTTAATTTAGTGCAATATTTTGTCATTGCAACATTTTAGTGCAGCCTTCCCTAACAACTGCAATTGGATTTATATATGTACTTAAGTTATTATATAAATTATCCCACAGGTCACAATTTTGATCATCAGCATGTTTACTGATTGTATGACAACACTCATCAAAATTTAATAATTGTGAATTCATATATTAAACCAGACACCTTAAAGATAATGTGGATCGATGGGCAAGGCAGAGGGGCGTTTTCGACCATGTTACCTGATTGGCTGATGCCATAGTGACGGGTAGATTTAGGGGTGGGGTAAGGGGGATAATTTTCATTGCATGATTTAGAAACACCCATCAGTTTGAAAACACCCACAAAGTCAGAATGTATTAAGCAGTATATAAAAAGTGTTTCTGTTGCTCATGAAAACGGTTCTGAAACGTCTGTGTATTTGTCAAATATTGCATTTAATTCACTTCATCAGTGTTAGGATATGCAAACACTGTGTGAGCGTCACACCCGGGAGCAGAAAGTGTCTGACTTGACGTGTCCATTTTCAACTCCGCCCCTGACTGCTCTTGGCTAATCTGGTTGACCGCCATCTATAGCCTGTAGTAAAACACACTTATCATCTTCTCATGGTGCAAACAGGAAATAAACTGCTCTGGTCATGTGATAATTTGCACTAACCATGTGAAAATGCACATATTTAATTGAGACCCTTTATTTCTTTCCATATTTGCAGGAAATGCACTAAAACATCAGTCAGTAAAATTTTTAGAGCTTTATAAATGAAAACCTTCTTTACGGTCACTATTGTGACCGGTGTTAAATATACTTATATTCCATTTAAATAGGAAAGAACAGTAAACTACACTTAAATGACTTTAAATTGAAATTGTGATTTTCTCACAGTAAGAATGTGAAATTAGTCAATTGAAATGTTTCAATCAGTTATACAGTTCACAAATTTGTACATCTACGTTTATAATTCACAAAAAAAATTTGACTGAGTGATAATTGTCCAAACTTCTGTTGAATCTAGTATCCGCAAATCCTAGCTAGGAATTTGTTTATGGTTCTGTAATTAGGTTTTCATGATTTGCTGCTGTATTAGTGTGCTATATGACATTTAGTTATGATACATTTTACTCACACAAACTTAACATGGATATGATTTCTTGTCTTTTCTCTTTCTGTCTTCAGTCTGTGTGGATGCAGAATTACAGAGAAACATTGTTTCATCCTGACTTCAGATCTGTGTTCAAACCTTTCACACCTGAGAGAGCTGGACCTCAGTGGGAATAAAATAGAAAACAAAGGATTGCAGATCCTGTGTGACATAATGAATAATTCACACTGTAAACTAGAGAGATTGAGGTCAGTGACACTCACATACAAAAAAGAAAATGCTTAAAATCATTTCAACATTGCAATTTAACAAACACTTTTACTCAGTATCTCATAATGAGTCTGGGTTCACATTATAAGGGCGCTACAGAGCCCACATCCTACCCGAAAGGAGGTGACATGTGGAGACACTAATATGGACTGACCCAGGCCTGGGGGAGTACTACATATGGAATAAGCCTCTGAGGCAGGTCCTACCTAGGAGTAGGGAGGAGCGGCTGCCAGCAGAACCTGACAGAGGGATCTGTCAAAGGGAAGACATGATTTTACCAAGAGGGCAGCCTTACCGTGGAAGAATACACATATGGGATTGCCAGATGGGAATCAAACCTTATGGACACCTAGCCCAGTACAGGGGCTGACCGGAGACCCGGGCAAGCTAACACCAGTACTGGGCCTGGCGTCAGACTGCTCTGCCCAGTCTGACTGATGGGTGCTGGAGGAACTCCACCAGGGTTCGCCGTCCAGGGAACTTTACTGGAGGAGGAAAAAGGTGCTCGCATCCCTGGTTGAGGTGGAATGGCACAGCAAGCGTGACACCGGCCAGCTCTTTTCCGCCACTTACCTGTTACCCAACACACGTGAAGAAACCGGCTCAATGCGGAGCCTGTGAATCTCGTGAAGATGTTCGGTGTCGCCCAAACCGCATCTCTACAGATGTCTGCCAGAGAGGCGCCATGCACCAATGCCTAGGAGGAGGCAACACTCCGTGTGCAGTGAGCCCTCACACCCAGGGGGCACAGCTCGCCTTGGGATTGGTACATCAAGCCAATGGCATCCACTTTCCAGTGGGCCCACCTCTGCTTGGAGACATCCTTCCCTTTCTGCTGACCTCCGTAGCAGACAAAGAGCTGCTCAGAGCTTCTGAAGCTCCAGGTGCGGTGCACATATATGCGCAACGCTCTTACAGGACACAGCAACGCCAAGGCTGGATCTGCCTCCTCTGAGGGTAGTGCTTACAGGTCCACCACCTGACCATGAAAAGCTGTGGTGGGAACTTTGGGCACGTATCCAGGCCAGGGTCTCAGGACAACGTGAGAGTAGGCCGGCCCAAACACAAGGCACTCTTCGCTCACTGAAAATTCTTGGAGGTCCCCGACCCTCTTGATGGATGAGAGTGAGGTCAGGAGCGCTGTCTTCTAGTAGACAGTAGCACTGTCTTCTAGCAGACAGGAATTTAAGCTTGATTAAATCCAGCGGTTCAAAGGAACCCCTCTGCAGTCCAGCCAGGACAATAGAGAGATCCCAGGAGGGCACCAGGGGTGGCCTAGGAGGATGTAACCTCCAGGCACCCCTCAGGAACCTCATGATGAGATTGTGCTTTCCCAGGGACCGGCCGTCCACTGCATTGTGATGTGCTGCGATAGCAGCCACATACACTTTCAAGGTGGAGGGTGACAGCCAGGGCTTAATTTGTGCCGGAACAAGCCAGATCTGGATCCGGCACCTCCGAAATCCGATCCGGCACCTCATTTTGGCGGATCCCCCTCCTCACGTGCCATTGAAAGACGTTCATGCTGACCTATAGCGTGCATATGATATATATTTCATGAAAAATCTTCTATTATGAGCGCAATAGCCGAACATTTGAAATAACGAACTTGAGTGCGCAAAAGACACGACATGTGAACAGCCCCTTAGGCTGCTTTCACAAGACTGAATGAACGGATACACATGCATTTTCGTTCTCAACTGTTTACATTTAAGACAAAACCAAGTGCTTACGAGGATACTCACCAGTACGGCCATTTTTATGTCATTTTGTGTGTATTTGGCTGCTTAATTGTCCCGAAATGTGAGCGAAAGTCTTGGATGAGACAGTGAGAGAGTGAAAGAGACAAGACATGGTACAGCTTAATCACTCATGCAGAGCTTAATCACTCATGCAGTTTTCAAATGACTGATTTTATCTAATAATTTGTGTGGATTTATTTACTCATTTAACCTACTATATTGAATAAATGTTTGCAGGAATTTCCCTCATTATAAACTTGAAAGATGCGGAAATTAGTAAAACTATAGCCTAAACATGCACAATTCCCCACCGAAATTCAGGACCTGATTAAATATAACTCTATTATACAGAGATTTGTTAAATAAAATACTATGACGTTTCCAAAACTTTTCCAGGCATGTAAATTGCTGGTTTAAAAATTCATGGCTTTTCCAGGTTTTCCATGACCGTATGAACCCTGATAAAAGAAACTGATGCACGCTGTTAATCACGTAAATTGGTCCACCAAGTGATTGCGCGAATGCTCCGTTACCTCTCCCTCCTCTAATCACATGCCGGATCCGTTACCCTGCTTTGCTCCGGGACCTTGCAATTTACAAATTAAGCACTGGTGACAACCTACGCTTCAACCTCTCTTGCAGGAAAGAAAGCACTTCTCCAATCGTGCACCTTCGGGGGTCTTCTTGGTGATAAGAACACCAGATCGCGAACAGACTCCACTCCAAGGCAAAAGCTCGCCTCGTAGAGAGGGCTCTGGCCTGAGTGATAGTGTCTTCCACCGCTGGTGGACAAAACACCCAAGTCTGCCACATCTCGTCCAGGAGCCACACATGGAGGTTCCGAGATCTGGACGCGGGTGCCACATGGTGCCGAGCCCCTGAGAAAGGAGGTCCTTCCTCAGAGGAATGCACCAGGTGGGGCTGTCACAAGGAGCATGAGTTCCGAAAACCAGGTCTGGGTGGGCCAATACGGCGCAACCAGCAAGACCTGTCCCTCGTCCTCGCTGACCTTGGAGGACTTATGGGAGGCAACCAGGCTTACCTGAGCTTCCCCGAATCGACTCCAGAACAGCCGGACCGTCTCAGGATGGAGTCGCCATTATCCGGGGAACGTGAGCTGTCGTGAGAGCACTTTGGCTGCATGATTGAGCTCCCCCAGGATGTGGACAGCATGCAGCGACTTGCACCGCGTCTGACTCCAGAGGAGGAGATGGCAGGCGAGTTGTGACATGCGACGTGATCGTAGACAACCCTGCCAGTTGATGTGCGAAACGGTTGCAGTGTTGACCATGCGGACCAACACGTGCTACCCAAGCAGCAGCAGCCGCACCGCTGCAAGGATAGTAGCACTGCCAGCAACTCGAGGCAGTTGATGTGCCAAAGCAGTCGAGGCCCTGTCCAGAACCCAGAGGCTGCCTGTCCATTGTATGTAGTGCACCAGCCCGCACTGGAGGCATCCATCGTTACAACAACATGCCAAGACACTTGTTCTAAGGGCACCCCGACCTGTAGAAAGACTAGGTCCATCCAGGGGCTGAATGAGCAGCCACGTGTTGGCGTGATGGTCATGCGAACTGTACCACGGCGCCATTCCCATCTCGGGACTTGGGAGTGTAACCAGTCCTGAAGTGGTCTCATATGAAGCAATCCGAGCTGCGAGACTGCAGAATGTCTCGAGGACGCCACTGAACCTGGGGGGGGGGGTCGCCTGGCGAACTGAATCGCTTTGCCGAGTCAGACTGTCCAAATGAGCCAGTGGGACAGGTTGGGCAGCGTGAGCCACGCCCTCAAACCCCGTGCGAGTGGCACCAAAGGGACAACCGAAATACCCGCAGTGGTGCAGCAGTGGGAAGTCGTGCTAGATGGCCCAGAAACCACCACGTTCTGACTCGTCACGTCAGGGCTCCCCATGTCCCCGAAGGGACCGACCGGAGATGTGTGGAAAGGCATTGCATCCCCAAACCGCAATCTCTTGGCCGCTGGCAATAGGGGACGTCATGGGCGAGAGTGAGGAGGCAGTGTGTCGCTCACTGTTAACCCACGAGCCTGATGGCCCAGAGGAAAAGGAAACTGCTCTTTATTTGAGAATGTGGTTACCGCTGGCCCTTGGGCCAGTACCGGAACAGAACAAATTAAACAAAAGATTCCTCACCCGGCCCTCCTCCGGGGAAGGAGTGGCGCTCTCCTTGCCATCTTTGGAAGAAAAGCAGTTCCTCGCATCTCTGGGCTGTCTGTGTCAGGGCCGCCTCGTCATTTTCCTGGAGGACTTAGGGGCCAGCTGACACAGGGGGTGAGGGCACCGCGCTCCCGTGCAAGGCTCAACACGACCGAGCTCGACATGGTCTCAGCACCATGGATGTGGGTGGAGCAGCCGCAGGAGAGCGCCCTTGGTGACGGGTAGGCTGAGGCGTGGCCCGCGGCGGAACGGTGGCAGGTGGAGGATCACGCCGGGGCCGGATGTGCTGGATAGCCTCAGTCTGCCTTTGTACTGCCGAGACTGCTGGGCGAAGTCCTCGACAGTGTTTGTCGAATAGCCCAGCCTGGGAGATAGGAGCATCAAGAAAAGCGCACTTTGTTGACGTTACTCATCTCAACAAGGCTGAGCCATAGATGGCGCTCTAGGGTCACAAGAGTGGACACCGCCTTCCTGAGGGACCGTGCCGTGACCGGAGAGCAAAGTCGGTCACCAAGCGCAGCTCCTGCATCAACCCCGGGTCGGTACTACCCTCATGCATTTGTTTGAGTGCCTTGGCTCGGTGGACCTGCAGGATTGCCATGGCATGCAGGACAGAGGTGGCTTGGCCCGCAGCACTGTAAGCTTTGGGGTGAGAGCCACCGTCAGCTTACAGGCTTTGGATGGGAGACGAGGACGATTCCTCCCAAGTGGCAGCGTTTTGCGGGCACAGGTGCACCGCAACCGCACTCTCCACCTGGGGAATGTCAATGTCAACCCTAGCCACCCTGCCTTCAAGGGTAGTGAGGATGAAAGAGGCGGACGAGTGGCTTCCAGATGAAAAAAGGGCCGTCCACAACTTCATCAGCTCCTCATGCACCTCCAGGAAGAAAGGAACTGGGGCAGGGCGTGAACATAAAACATACAAAACATAAAACACATACACAATGTTTTTCTTTGATATTTTGTCTAAAGGTTAAAAACTATTTTCATAAAACCATAAAACTTTTTTCTGAAAAATGATATAACAAAAATCTTTAACAAGTGATTTTGAAAATACAATATAACAGTACACAAAATTGTTAAATTAATCAAATGTTTCAAACAGGTTAAAGTGCAAAAGTACACAGCTATATTGTTAAATAATATAAAATATATTTTCTGGCATGTTTTAGTGTGAAATGTGAATATGTTTAAGTAAAACTAAATGTTTGAAAATAAATGCTAAGTATTTAAGTATTTAGTGTTGTTCAGTAAACACCATAGTGAATACAAAAATCTGAATGGCTGTTTGAAAACACGTAAATACTGTTTGACTTCCTTTCTTCTCTGTGAAGAAATAGAAAGTGCAGTCTATTTTGTTTATGTGGGCTTTCGGGGAAACGGCTACTGTCAGAAAGTGAACTGTATTTTTATTCAGTCTGTCTCCTTCACTCACAGCGGTTGACTGACTGTCTGGGAGTGACACATGCATTGCTGAAGCAACAGTGCAAGTGCACATGCGTAACTGTGCCCTCTGGGTGAAAGTAAAAATAATTTTTCTTCCTCTGTCTGTCTTTCTCTTTCTAGTCTAAATGACTGTGGCATTACAGATGTTGCTTGTTTGGCTCAGTCTTTGGCTGAAACAAAAGTACTGCTGTTTTTAAAAGAGCTTGATCTGAGTAACAATAAAATAGGAGACTCAAAGCAGCAGCTCATTGATGTGCTGCAAGACTCAAACTGTGAACTGAAGTGAGTAAACATTCTTTTATTGCAATCATGCTAACACATTTACATTTACATTTAGTCATTTAGCAGACGCTTTTATCCAAAGCGACTTACAATTGAGGACAATCGAAGACAGTCTCAGTTAGCTTAATGCAGTACACGTAGCAAGGGTTTTTAAATAATATAATAAATAAAAAGAAAACAGATAAAAGAATAGAGCAAGCCAGTGTTAGAGGTCTTTTTGCTTTTGTTAATTGTATAATAAATGAAAAGAAAACAGATAGAATACAAAAAAAATTAGAAAGCTAGGGTTAGTTTTTTTTTAAGAATAGAATTAGATTAGAGAGTGCTAGAGTTAGAGGGTCAAATAAAGATGGAAGAGATGTGTTTTTAGCCGATTCTTGAAGATGGTTAAGGACTCAGCTGCTGGGATTGAGTTGGGCAGGTCATTCCACCAGGAGGGAACATTAAATTTAAAAGTCTGTAAAAGTGATTTTGTGCTTCTTTGGGATGGCACAATCAAGCGATGTTCCCTTGCAGAATAATTGAAGTAATGAAGTAATTCACAAATTAGTAACACAAACAAACAAACATCATGTACATTGTTTTAAAATCTGTGTGTCAAATAGTTTAAAATCAGTAACTAAACTGATTACAGAAATGTAATCTTTGTTACAGTCTACTTTGTACTCAAAGTAATTGAAATATAGTAATTATTTCAAACTTGTTCCACTCAACACTGTTGTTCTCTTCTGATTCCTCCTGACAGCCTGGAGAAAGAACATTTGCTCAGCTGGAGAGCTGGTGTGAACTACATTGGTAGCTTTGGTGGGTGGTTAACATCCTGGTCTAAAGCTCAGGAGGATCCTGTGGAATCAACAGAACAAGAAAAGGTCACCGTTAGATGAGGAATTCTCAGAAGGTTCTCCATTTAGTACTGTAATAAATCTGTGGTGGTAATTTTGCCGAGATGTTGCTAAACTGCAATTAAGAAATACAAAAATGCCAAACTTACAGCTACTACAACTTCAAATAGCTGCTTAACAAATCGAAAGTTTACTGGTTGGAAAGGCTCAGACCTTCAAATGAAATAATGCAGTATTAATAGAAGCATGCGAGTAATGTTAAATGTTTATTGTTAATTTAGTATTCAGTTTAAGGTCTACATAATAATGATGGTGGCTGGGTTTATTTGAGAGATGAAGAAGTGTATCAGGACTGGATCAAATGCTTTGATGAGCCTGTTGGATAGGTGCTGCACCCTTAGACTTTCTGTCCCTCTTTCTGACTGATGACTTCTGGAACCTCATTACAAATGAAACCAACAGATATGCTCATCAGTTTCTAAACTCCCAACAGCTGAAACCCAATTCCAGATTTCCTGAATGTTTCCTGAATATTACTGATGAACTGATCAAAAAGTAGGCTACTGTTCTCATGCGTTTTACTACTATATAGTATAGTAATATAGTAATAATCTAGTACTTTCTCCTGTTTTATTCTCCCTTGCAGAATAATTGAAGTAATGAAGTAATTCACAAATTAGTAACACAAACAAACAAACATCATGTACATTGTTTTAAAATCTGTGTGTCAAATAGTTTAAAATCAGTAACTAAACTGATTACAGAAATGTAATCTTTGTTACAGTCTACTTTGTACTCAAAGTAATTGAAATATAGTAATTATTTCAAACTTGTTCCACTCAACACTGTTGTTCTCTTCTGATTCCTCCTGACAGCCTGGAGAAAGAACATTTGCTCAGCTGGAGAGCTGGTGTGAACTACATTGGTAGCTTTGGTGGGTGGTTAACATCCTGGTCTAAAGCTCAGGAGGATCCTGTGGAATCAACAGAACAAGAAAAGGTCACCGTTAGATGAGGAATTCTCAGAAGGTTCTCCATTTAGTACTGTAATAAATCTGTGGTGGTAATTTTGCCGAGATGTTGCTAAACTGCAATTAAGAAATACAAAAATGCCAAACTTACAGCTACTACAACTTCAAATAGCTGCTTAACAAATCGAAAGTTTACTGGTTGGAAAGGCTCAGACCTTCAAATGAAATAATGCAGTATTAATAGAAGCATGCGAGTAATGTTAAATGTTTATTGTTAATTTAGTATTCAGTTTAAGGTCTACATAATAATGATGGTGGCTGGGTTTATTTGAGAGATGAAGAAGTGTATCAGGACTGGATCAAATGCTTTGATGAGCCTGTTGGATAGGTGCTGCACCCTTAGACTTTCTGTCCCTCTTTCTGACTGATGACTTCTGGAACCTCATTACAAATGAAACCAACAGATATGCTCATCAGTTTCTAAACTCCCAACAGCTGAAACCCAATTCCAGATTTCCTGAATGTTTCCTGAATATTACTGATGAACTGATCAAAAAGTAGGCTACTGTTCACATGCGTTTTACTACTATATAGTATAGTAATATAGTAATAATTTGGTACTTTCTCCTGTTTTTTTTGTTGGTTTCCTCTTTTCTGATCATTTGGAATGAGGATAAAAAGACAAAAAAACAGGCAAATAAGTTCAAACATCCATTCAATATCTATTATTTCCTGAATATTACTGATGAACTGATCAAAAAGTAGGCTACTGTTCACATGCGTTTTACTACTATATAGTATAGTAATATAGTAATAATTTGGTACTTTCTCCTGTTTTTTTTGTTGGTTTCCTCTTTTCTGATCATTTGGAATGAGGATAAAAAGACAAAAAAACAGGCAAATAAGTTCAAACATCAATTCAATATCTACTATTTCCTGAATATTATGAAATTCAATATGGCCGCCCCGAGGACGTCATAATATGCTAATTAGATGAGTATATTTACACCCCTCATAAACTCTCGGTCATGCCCAATGTTTTTCTAATTTACAGTAGATCTCTATCTTTAAGCCCTTTCAAGCCACAAGCTTTTGAAATCTTCATGTCAAAATCCAGCATTTTTCCAAAAATCCCTGGCGCCCAAAGGGTTAAACTCATCCATAATGAAGCAATTAAAAAAGTGCTCATAACTGTGATATCAAATGATACAAACTGAAAGTCTAAAATTAAAATTGTGTTATTGTGAGCTACATATACACAGATTCAGTCCTATCAATATGTTATTTTTTATCTCTTATTACATAATTTGTTTGACCAAATTTTACAATTGTTTTGCATATATTTAATTTTTTTTACATTTTATATACAAAATATATTTATTTAAATTTGTATTACGTTCTGTATCCTTCTGTCTCATAATGAACAAGTAGCCTATGTCTGTACATAAGACAATGCTTTGACTGACGTAAGATGGAGTCTGTTCACTACATCAACCCAGACTAAGTAAACTTTAGTATTGCCAGTTGACAGCATTTATGTACCCAAAATCCCCCATATTTGATGTTGGTGCTTTCACAGTCGGTAGTCTGGATAGTATAATGCTTTTTGTTTAACCATTATCATCTTCCTTTTTGCCATTGTTTTGTATTGTACTGTATTATGTATTGGCATATTGTAAATGTAGGATCATATATACTTTTTTCGTCTTTATTCTTCTCATACTGTGTAATAGTTTTATATGCAAGGCTGAACTACCTCCTATGTTTCTGTTAAGAACTGACCAACAAGTACATGTTGCAACCAGAAACTGGGAAGTATGCTAATGCTGGAGCAAACAGAAAGGGATATATGTTTAGTAATGATTTCTGTGTTCTGGACCACTTCTCATCTGACACTTGACTCATTGTCTCTTCTTTCCTGATCCAACAAACTGCATGTTATGGCTGGGGGAATGCCCATTATTTAAATGTGGTGTTTGGCCAAACCATAGAAAATTAGGAGGATGTGTTAAGTTAGTGCCTTAAGTTTTTTTTTTTTTTGGTGCATGTTTATAGTGCTTAAGTATAATCTCTCTATTTTCATTCAACGGAAAGGAAGTTTACAAGGGGAAATATTCTGCATCAAATGTTCCTCCTCAGGACTGAGCGTTGATCACAGAGGCTTCACGACCGAAGTTAACATTGTAAGTCTCTCAGTTTGTTCTGTTTGAAATGTTAAATTGCTTTTACTAAATTATAGTGATGGCAAAATTAGCATTTCTTTAGTCAAGAATACAATTATCTATTTTGTTCATTTACATTTCACACCTGTTCTTTGTTATTTAAAATGAAAGTATTAAAACAGTCAAATGTTATAAAATGTTGATTATACAAATACATTTTAGAATATAATTGAATAAACAAATGTGCACAGAATATGTATCATGTAAATAGTCTTAAATCACATCTACATACAGATTCTGAAGAAAGACGATGCTAGGTGAAAAAGTCGACCAGCATATGAACAGAGCTTAACGCACAGAAAATTCCAATCTTCAGACAAAAAAGCCAGAGATGCTGTCAATGTGGCACCAGGCCTAGTTTCAAATAAAGGGACAGTTGTGGAGACAGCACAAATTAGAGATTCTCAACAGAAGGGACCCCTCCAGCATTGTCAGTTTAGGCAGTTAACCCAAGATAAATGGGTCCAAAAACGAGTACATTCTGTCTATCACATGGAAATTTGTGAGGAGAGGAAAACATGGTTACACCACAAACTAAAATAAATTATTTCAAAACGGTTGAGTGAAGATCTACGGCAGGTAAAATAAGTATTGAACACATCACCATTTTTCTCAGTAAATATATTTCTAAAGGTGCTGTTGACATGAAATTTACTCCAGGTGTTGGTAAAAATCCAAGTAATCCATACATACAAAGAAAGCAAAACAAATAAGTTCAGAAATTAAGTTCTGTGTAATGAAGTGGAATGACCCAGGGAAAAAGTATTGAACACATGAATATAGGGAGGTGCAAAAAGGCATGGAAAGCCAAGACACCAGCTGAAATCTATCAGTAATTAGAAAACAATCCTGCCCCTCAGTGGAAATTAATATTAGCTGGTTCAGTCCTGACTTGTCTCATGACCAACGTGTCACACAAGAAACGTTTCATGATGGGTAAAAACAAAGAGCTCTCTCAAGACCCTCGCAACCTTATTTTTGCAAAACATTCTGATGGCATTGGTTACAGAAGCATTTCTATACTTCTGAATGTTCCAATGAGCAGTTACACCACAAACTAAAATAAATTATTTCAAAACGGTTGAGTGAAGATCTACGGCAGGTAAAATAAGTATTGAACACATCACCATTTTTCTCAGTAAATATATTTCTAAAGGTGCTGTTGACATGAAATTTACTCCAGGTGTTGGTAAAAATCCAAGTAATCCATACATACAAAGAAAGCAAAACAAATAAGTTCAGAAATTAAGTTCTGTGTAATGAAGTGGAATGACCCAGGGAAAAAGTATTGAACACATGAATATAGGGAGGTGCAAAAAGGCATGGAAAGCCAAGACACCAGCTGAAATCTATCAGTAATTAGAAAACAATCCTGCCCCTCAGTGGAAATTAATATTAGCTGGTTCAGTCCTGACTTGTCTCATGACCAACGTGTCACACAAGAAACGTTTCATGATGGGTAAAAACAAAGAGCTCTCTCAAGACCCTCGCAACCTTATTTTTGCAAAACATTCTGATGGCATTGGTTACAGAAGCATTTCTATACTTCTGAATGTTCCAATGAGCACTGTACACTCTTAAAAATAAAGGTTCTTCACGATGCCATAGAAGAACCTTTTTGTCTAAATGGTTCCATAAAGAACCTTTAACATCTGAAGAACCTTGCTGTTTCACAAAAGGTTCGTTGTAGTGAAAGAAGGTTCTTCAGATTACAAAAAGGTAAGAAAGAGATGGTTCTTTAAAGAACCTTTGACTGAATGGTTCTTTGTGGAACCAAAAATGGTTCTTCTATGGCATCGCTTGAAGAAACTTTTGAAGCACCTTTATTTTTAAGAGTGTAGGGGCCATAATACAGAAGTGGAAAGAAAATTATTTTACCATAAATCGGCCATGACCAGGTGCTCGTAAGCTGAAATCGTAAGATTTCTGACAGGAGTGAAAAGAATTATCAGAACAGTTGTCCAAGAGCCAAGGACCACTTGTGGAGAGCTTCAGAAAGACCTGGAATAAGCATGTACAATTGTTTCAAAGAAAACAATAAGTAATGCACTCAACCGCCATGGCCTGCATACACGCTCACCATGCAAGACTCCATTGCTGAAGAAAAAGCATGTTGAAGCTCGTTTAAAGCTTGCTGCACAACATTTAGACAAGCCTGTGAAATACTGGGAGAATATAGTCTGGTCAGATCAGACAAAAATTGTACTCTTTGAATGCCATAATGCACACCATGTTTGGAGGTCAAATGGCACTGCACATCACCCCAAAACATCATGGTGTAGCACTGGCAAAATTCATATAAATGAAGGAAGGATGAATGTACGTTGATTAGCCCCATACAACCTACTATGATTTTATTTCAGGGGTCATTTGTTTTG